TTTTTTTAAAGATTTTATTTATTTATTTGACAGAGAGAGAGACAGCGAGAGAGGGAACACAAGCAGGCGGAGTGGGAGAGGAAGAAGCAGGCTTCTGGCTGAGCAGGGAGACTGATGCGGGGCTCGATCCCAGGACCCTGGGATCATGACCTGAGCTGAAGGCAGACACTTCACGACTGAGCCATCCAGGCGCCCCTTGGGTTATTGTCTTTAGATTGACTTTTCACGATTAACCTTTAAAATTATGATTCAGAATTAATCCCTGCTGTATTTTTCTGTTGAATTTTGAAGAAATTAATTGTGCTTTAGAAATTTAAATTTGGAATTTAAAAAATTAATAATTTTTTTTTTAGGTTTGGAACTTTTGTAGAATTTAGATGTGGAAATAGGGAATTAGGAATGTTAGATAACTTGCCTACAATTGTACAGATGGTATGTGGAAGAACTTGGAAAGAAATTAGATCTGTACCCAGTCATTCTGACTCCAAAGCTCAAACTCTTAACCATCATACTAATTAGAACCAACAAAACACCTGATGAAAAACATTTTTTTAAGGTAAAACTTTTCAAATTCTTATTTTCTGCAATGGCAGAGGTAGAATATTTTTTAAAGAACATAAATGTTAGAGAACTAAAGAACTAAATGTTAGGCAAATAATTTAAAATAAAATACCCTGTCAGCCCAATGAATCTTCTCCATATATGTAGAAAAAATGTTTTATTACTGAATAAACATCCAGCCAGACTGTGATGTACATTATAGGCAGTCTGCTAAAGAGATTACACAGCCAGAAGGAAATCTCATTCTTTTATATAGCCAGGCATGTACAATCCATTACATATATTGTATGTGAATTGTCTTTATCCTAGGGAAAAATAAAGCTTCCCGTGTTTTTTTATGATAAGCAGCAAGTTACAACCTAGAGCCAGGAGCCTAGGCTAAACTACCGCAGAGACAGGGAGATGTCTACATTTCAAAAAGGTGGTTCAAAGGCTCCTAAGAAAGAAGGACATTCCTAGGATGTAAACTTGGCAGGAGGCTTATTTAAATCTTAAAAAGATTTACATACTTCTTAAAGACACAGAGAAAGGATTTACAACTGCAAGTTTTCCAAACGAAATGCTACAAGAAAAGGAGGGGAAAGGCTCTCTCTTTCACTTTTAGAACCTGAGAAAATTCAGTTTTTGCTTTAGATTTGTTGTCTTTCAACTAACCACCTTCAATATCAAATGAGTCTATTTGATGTGGGGAAAAAATGGACTTTTCTTGTTTAATATTACAAACAAGGTTGATTATAAAATTCGGTTGCTAGGAGGTGATCAACTAGGTCTGCCAGTACAAGGTAAAGGTACTACACTAATCATTACCATTTAATTTCAATGATATTTATATTTTGCTAGGCGAAAACAGAATCAGAATCCTGTCACTCTAGTGTTGAGTTGATGTATGGCGAGGTGGTTAGGACAGTGAACCAAGCGGAAATGAACAATCAAGGCTTTATTCACTTACTACTATAGTGTAAGCAGCCAAAAAGTATTCCATTTTTAGTGTTCCATTTTCCTCTATGGAATGACACCAGGCAAGGGTCAGTGAATGACATGCTGCACTGATAGGAGGAAACATCTCACTGCCTAGGAGCCCTGCACAAAAGACTCCTGCTGTTTCATGGGCCTACTGGGAGCCTGGGAGTGGAAGATACTGAGAGCGGAGAAAAGTAGGTTAGTTAAGACTGCCCCCACCCCATAAGGAGAAGTGAAAAGTACCTTAGGGTCACCCCAATAAAGATGCCTCAGGATGGAGGCATCTGGACTAGTAATGCTGGCCTGGGAGTTGCAAGGAAAGGGAGAAGTAAGGGGGGCTGAGTTCTGGACAGCAGCTCCCTCCAGAGATTGCAGTGCATAGGCTGTGCTCCAAGTCTGGTGTGGGAGGGCAGCTTTCCCCCATGAGGCTTTCTAGGCAGAGCCTTTGTAATTGGCTGAAAGATAACATGTAGGATTTTAGCCTGGAGCTGGACTTCTCTCCTAAAGAAACAGTTGCCTTCAGAGTTGTAGCACTGGAGTTGATAGATTGAAGGGAACCACCCTTTTCATCCTAATCGTATAAAAAGTCCTAGGAATGTGGAGAAAAGGATTCAGGGAATGTATAACTCTGAGAGGCTCACACTGGTATATATATGTGTTTTGTATCTTTGTGGCAAGATAAGCAGGTTTTTTTTTTTTTTTTTTAAGATTTTTTTATTTATTTGACAGAGCGAGAGCAGAAGAATGGGGAGCAGCAGAGGGAGAGAGAGAAGCAGGCTCCCCGCAGAGCAGGGAGTCCCATGCGGGGCTCAATCCCAGGACCCTGGGATCATGACCTGAGTAGAAGGCAGACGCTTAACGACTGAGCCACCCAGGTGCCCCAATAAGCAGGATTTTTTATTTATTTTTATTTTTTTTTAAAGATTATTTATTTATTTATTTATTTGAGAGAGAGAATGAGATAGAGAGCATGAGAGGAGGGAGGTTCAGAGAGAGAAGCAGACTCCCTGCCGAGCAGGGAGCCCGATGCAGGACTCGATCCCGGGACTCCAGGATCATGACCTGAGCCGAAGGCAGTCGCTTAACCACCTGAGCCACCCAGGCACCCAATAAGCAGGATTTTTTAAAACAAAATTGGCATTCCACTTTTCAGCTTGTTCCTCATCTCCAGAATGGAGTCATCATGAATCATGGAAAGGCTTCATCCAGACACAGGTAAAAGCTATAAAATATCCTAACATAGAAACATATCTTATGGAGATGTCTATAGAAAACAGGAGACAGCACAGCACATTTTAAGCTGGAAGTGCAGTTTGTTGGGTTTCCCAGACTCTACAAAGAAACATAGCTGTTGCTGCTGGCTGCATGGAATAAGTATCTGTTAAGTATGTGAAGAATCCTTTAGCTACTCTTAAGGAATTTTTATGGCCTTTAGGCCCTCCTCACTGCTCTGGAGACAACAGAATAACCCTAGTATATTTCTGAGTACAGCCTATACTGCTAAAAGACATTTCTAAAGCATCAAGGAAATCATATGCAATTGGGAAATAAGGGAATGATTAGTAGTGTAAAATAGACATTACATTGTTCACAGGATTTTTCCTAGGTACAAGGAATTAGAATAGCAGTAGTACAGTTTTCAGCAAGGGGAAAACCTTTGCTAGTACATAGGCAACTGCCCCTTCAGCTCTATTTTAAGAAAATTTAAAACGAGAGGCTGCACCCAGGGCTCCCTCCTTGACCCTCCACATTAGACTCCAGGCTGGAGGCAAGTTGCACTTCCTCCCTTGCCTGTTTTAACCTCAGCTTCTTTGGCCTGGAGTTGGATCCATTTCCATCTTCATAGTCTTGGCATTCTCAAGCCAACATTTCTGCTCTGTGGTCTGTGCATTTTTAATATCCCCTGAGGGGATATTAGACATACTGGGATTGTCTAACCTCCTGAGGGACCGACCGGTGGTTGTTCTCTGGTTACAAGCTGCATCAATTTTATGTAGTCTGGGGCGCCTGGGTGGCTCAGTTGGTTAAGCGATTGCCTTCGGCTCAGGTCATGATCCTGGAGTCCCAGGATCGAGTCCCACATCGGGCTCCCTGCTCGGCGGGGGGTCTGCTTCTCCCTCTGACCCTCCCTCCTCTCATGTACTCGCTCTCTCTCATTCTCTCTCTCTCAAATAAATAAATAAAATCTTTAAAAAAAAAAAAATTTTATGTAGTCTGGTTTCTAACACTACTTTTCTCCTGAGCTCTGTTATTTTTACCTTTGTGGTTTTGCAGAAATACAAAGTTTTCAGGAATATTATGCTTTGGCTGATATTTACTGTGAGACCAGGCAAACCAAAGGTCAATATCCCATGAGTCCCTAGCTTTCACTAATCATCATCTTCTGTAAACTTAGAAAAACAATGAGATGAAATGTATACATGTTGTCAACCAAGAAGGAACTGATTGAAAATTTAAACAAACAGATATTTATTTGGGCAATTAGAATTGCAATCTGGGAGACACAGATTCAGGTAGAAACCTGAATTGTGTTCTGAGGGAGACAAAGAGGAGGCAGAATTATAAAGGTGAAAGGTAATAAGTGCCATTCTCCTTTAGGTCCTCTATGCAAAACGGATTGAAACTAGGTTAACTGGGATAGGTTGAGCTAATTTAATATGCATGTGAGGTATTGAAACTATCATGGTGAGGAGGACTGAGGGCCACAGCTGGCTGAAAAATTTTTAAAAGTTTAGTTTCTTCCTATTAGGATATGCATAAAATCCTCCTCCCTTTTGGCCCCCTGATCCTATTTTAAGAGACTCTTAGCTAGGTTTGCTTGTTCCATTTTGAAATCTTCTTTTACAATGTAAAGTGCTTAAAAGAGTTCTTCATAGAGAATGTTCTCAATAAATGCAATTATCATCATCACCATCCTAATATAAGTTGATTATTGTCATTAAATGAGGGTATGTCTTTATTCATGTAGTTAACTGAATCATATATCATTTCCCAGAGTGACTGTAACTAGTACTTTCAATTATATATTTAGGTTACTATACTGACAGCTAAAATGTTATATATCTATAGCGTAATATTTATTAATCAGACTTGCAAACAGTTCAATGATAAGCTAAACATTTTCACCTGAGTGAAAGGTTAACTAACATTTAAATTCAGATGTATCAGTTTACTTGTATTCCCATTAGAGAGCATATTGGCTTTTCTGTGTCCTGTTTATATTCTAGATAATATGCTCCTGGCACTGCCTTCAGCAAAACTGTAAAGTATATGAATTTGGTAAATAGGTGGGAAGTCAGGTGGAAAATGGATTGTGAGGGGCGCCTGGGTGGCTCAGTTGGTTAAGCAACTGCCTTTGGCTCAGGTCATGATCCCAGGGTCTTGGGATCAAGCCCCACGTCAGGCTCTCCGCTCAGTGGGGAGCCTGCTTCCCCCTCTTCCTCTGTAGCATCCCTTGCTTGTGCTCCCTCTCACGTACATGCTCTCTCTCACTCTCTGTCAAATAAATAAATAAAATCTTAAAAAAAAAAAAAAGGAAAATGGATTGTGAGGTCTTTATACCTACTGGATGAAGGAGATTGACTTTTTACCTAGAACTAATTCCACTTATTAATTTGTTTTTGGCATATACTCATCAGAGAGCAGAGAAAAGCAATTGAATGAAGATCAATTGAGTAAAGAGTAGATAATTGTAGGGTAATAGTAAGAGATGAGGTAAGAAAGGAGTCATGAGGAATATTGGGTAACAACTACTGGCATTGAGCTGTTCAAATGCTGACCTAAGGAGATTAGGTTTAGTTCACAGAGCAGTGGGAAGCCATTGATTGTTTTGGTTTTTTTTTTTAAAGATTTTGTTTATTTATTTGACAGAGAGATAGCGAGGGCAGGAACATAAGCAGGGGGAGTGGGAGAGAGAGAAGCAGGCTTCCTGCCGAGCAGGGAGCCCGATGTGGGACTTGATCCCAGGACCCTGGGATCATGACTCGAGCCGAAGGCAGACGCTTAACGATTGAGCCACCCAGGTGCCCTGTTTTGTTTTGTTTTTAAGGTTTATTTATTTGAGAGAGACAGGCAGAGGACGAGGGGGGCCGGGGGAGGGGGAAGAGGGAAAGGGAGAGAGAGAAGCAGACTCCCTGCTGAGTGCAGAGCCCACACGGGGTTCGAACTCAAGACCCTGAGATCAATACGTGAGCCGAAACCAAGAGTCCAATGCTTAACCAACTGAGCCACCTAGGTGCCCTGCCATTGATTTGTTTTTTAGCCAGCAAATGACATGATGGAATATTGCTTTTTTTTTTTTCAACAAGTGTGGAGCCCAACTCAGGGCTTGAACTCACAACCCCAAGATCAAGACCTGAGCTGAGATCAAGAGTCTGATGCTTAACTGATGGAGCCACCCAAGTGCCCAGGAATATTGCTATTCTATTAGAAATAGCAGGTCAAGCTCATTAATGAGTCATGAATGGATTTAATGAGTCAGGGTTCTGCAGGAAACTGATAGGCATACTCAAATTTAATGTGGTTAATTTGAAATGGGTTTTAATCAGAGACTATTTTTTTCCAGAGGCATGGTGGGTGGGAGGAGAATGTTTACTACAGCCTGACATAAGAGATATTTGGTGAAGGGAAAGGGTTTGCTACTCGGTGGATACACTCATACATAGGTTTCTAGGCAAAGAAACTTTGTCAGATTTCTGGTAGCCACTTGGAACAGTGGTCTCTTGGGTTTCCATGCCCTCTTGACTAGCCCAGGCATCACTGTTGGTTGTTCTTTGGTACAAATACAGTATAAAGAAGGAAGAACCGTACTGTCTAGTTCTTGCTGCTACAGAGCCCAAATTGCCCAGAGCATTGCTCCTTGCTCCCTTTACCTATAGCCTCCAATCTCAGAGTACCTTGGAAGTTGCTTTCATCATTTCCTGTAGTTCTTTCCTATTCTACTTTTTGCAAGTGTTGGGGTGTGGTTAGAACTTTCTTCTTCAGTCTGATCCCTTTTGTTTTCAGCGATTTCTTCTAATTTGTGGTCTATTGAGGGGGCATTCTTGTTTTCCAGTGACAATATGACATACAAAATTAAATGTAAAAAATGTGTGTGTATAAAAGGTATATTATATATGTAAATATGACATAAAGCTGTTGGAGGGTTAGGGGTGCCTGGATGGCTCAGTCAGACTCTTGATTTCAGCCTGGGTCATGATCTTGGGGTCATGGGATCAAGTTCTGTGTCAGCTCTGCCCTCATCGGGGAAGTCTGCTTCAGATTCTCTCCACTTCCTCTCCTTCTGCCCATTCCCCCACCCCACCCCCTGCTCATGCACACACACTCTCTCTCTCAAATAAATAAATCTTTAAAAAAATTAATTTAAAGATGTTGGAGGGTAGCTGAATCATTGACTCAGTTTGTCGTCATAATCCAGTGTCTAGGAAAGTATTTTATATTATCTTGATTTATTTTTTCCCCTTTAGATTACAGGATCTTATCAGTCAAAAAAAGGCAGAGGACCCAGAGAAACCAGATGAACCCAGCAAAGATAACCAGCGGCAGGCCCTAATTGACCAGAGATACTTTCAGGTATTGAACAACTGGCAAAGAGACTGGTTATTTGTAGTGAACCTTGGTTTCTTTTTTTTTTTTTTTCAACTTTTTATTTGAATTCCAGTTAACATACAGTCTAATATTAGTTTCAGGTGTACAGTATAGTGATTCAACACTTCCATGCAATCAACACCTGGTGCTCATCACAATGAGTGTACTCCTTAATCCCTATCACCTATTTCACCCATCCCCCCCCACCCCCCGCACCTCCCTTCTGGTAACCATCAGTTTGTTCTCTGTAGTTATTTTCCCTTTTTGGTTTTGTTTTCTTTTTAATTTTTAAAATTTTTTACATTTTTAAGTAATCTCTACTTGCAACCCTGAGATCAAGAGTCACATGCTCCCCTGACTGAGCCAGCCAGGCGCCCCTGTTTTGTTCTTGAATTCCACATATGAGTGAAATCATGTGATGTTTGTCTTTCTCTGACTTATATCACTTAGCATAATACTTTCTAGCTCCATTCGTGTCCTTGCAAATGACAAAATTTCATTTTTTTATGGTTGTGTAATACTCCATTTTTGTGTGTGTATACACACATACACACATATGTATATACATACATATATATGTATGTATGCATGTATATGCATATGGATATGTATATGTATATATACATACGTATATATATACACATACCACATCTTCTTTATCCATTCATCAATTGATAGACACATAGGCTGTTACCATAGTTTGGCTACTGTAAATAACACTGCTATAAACATCAGAGTGCATGTATCCTTTTGAGTTAGTATTTTTGTATTCTTTGGGTAAATACCTAGTAGTGCAGTCGCTGGATCCTAGGGTAGTTCTATTTTTAACTTCTTAGGGAACCTCTGTGCTGTTATCCACAGTGGCTGTACCAGTTTGTATTCCCACCAACAGTGCACGAGGGTTTCTTTTTCTCCACATCCTCCCCTACACCTTTTGTTTCTTGTGTTGTTGATTTTAGCCATTCTGACAGGTGTGAGGTGATATCTCGTTGTAATTTTGATTTGCATTTCCCTGATGGTGAGTGATGTTGAGCATCTTTTCATGTGTATGTTAGCCATCTGTATGCCTTCTTCAGAAAAATGTCTATTCATATCTTCTGCCCCTCCCCCCCCCCTTTTTTAAAGAAAGGCAGACTGCCACATGTAGGGCCTCATTTGGATGTGGTCTAGAACCTTGAAAACTTGACTACCCTACATTCTCCTACAAATGGACCTTGAGAGCTTGTTTGGAGGTTCTAGTAGGGGAATGCAGCTACTTGTATACCCTTGACTGAAGAATAGTCCTCCTCAATTGGGGAAGGTCGTCCTCTTTGACCAAACCTGCAGCTTCCGGAGGGATGCACATGGAGTGGTGAGGGAGGAAAGGGACACTTGCCTAGCCAGCCAGATCAGCTGAATCAACCCTGGCGATCAGTGGGGTGACAGATGTCACAGCCAGATTGCCCCCATATCCTGCCCATTTTTTAATTAGGTTGTTTTTTGGGTGTTGAGTTGTATAAGGGTTTCATATATTTTGGATATGTCCCTTTATCAGATATATCATTTACAAATATCTTCTCCCAATCTGTAGGTTGCCTTGTTTCCTTCTCTGTGCAGAAGCTTTATTTTGATGTAGTCCCAATAGTTTATTTTTGCTTTTGTTTCCTTTATCTAGGAAGAAGTTGCTACAGCTAATGTCAAAGAAGTTACTGCCTGAATTCTCTTCTAGGATTTTTATGGTTTCAGGTCTCACATTTAGGTCTTTAATCCATTTTGAATTAATTTTTGTGTATGGTGTAAAAAAGTGGTCCAGTTTCATTCTTTTGCATGTTGCTGCCCTGTTTTCCCAGAACCATTTGTTAAAGAGAGCTTTTTCCTATTGGATATTCTTTTCTTCTTCATCGAAGATTAATTGACTGTATAATTATGGGTTCATTTCTTTTTTTTTTTTTAAGATTTTATTTATTTGACAGAGAGAGACACAGCGAGAGAGGGAACACAAGCCGGGGGAGCGGGAGAGGGAGAAGCAGGCTGTCCGCAGAGCAGGGAGCCCGATGCGGGGCTCGATCCCAGGACCCTGGGATCATGACCAGGGCCGAAGGCAGACGCTTAACGACTGAGCCACCCAGGCGCCCCAATTATGGGTTCATTTCTGAGTTTTCTATTCTGAGTTTTATTGATCTAGGTGTCTGTTTTTGTGCCAGTACCATTCTGTTTTGATTAGTATAGCTTTGTAATATAACTTGAAGTCGAGAATTGTGATACCTCCAGTTTTGTTTTTCTTTTTCAAGGTTGCTTTGGCTCTTCAGAGTCTTTTGTGGTTCCATACAAATTTTAGGATTATTTGTTATAGCACTATGAAAAATGCTGTTGGTATTTTGATAGGGATTGCATTAAATGTATAGATTGCTTTGGGTGGTATAGACATTCTAACAGTATTTGTTCTTCCAGTCCATGAGTTTGGAATGTCTTTCTATTTCTTTCTATCATCTTCAGTTTCTTTCATCAGTATTTTATAGTTTTCAGAGTACAGGTCTTAAACCTCTTTGGATAGGTTTATTCCTAGCGATCTTATTGTTTTTGGTGCAATTGTAAATGGGATTGTTTCCTTCCTTCCTTCTTTTTTTTTTTTTTTTTTAAGATTTTATTTATTTGAGAGAGTGCACACGAGCTGGGGGAGGGGGGGGAGGGAAGGGCAGAGGGAGAAGCAGACTGCCCTCTGAGGAGGGGAGTCCTAAGTGGGGCTCAGTCCCAGGACCCTGAGATCATGACCTGAGCTGAAGGCAGCCACTTAACCAGCTGAGCCACCCAGGTGCCCCTGCAAATGGGATTGTTTTCTTAATTTCTCTTTCTGCTGCTTCATTATTGGTATATAGAAATCCAGTAGATTTTTGTACATTGATTTTGTATCCTGAGACTCAACTGAATTCCTTTGTTAGTTCTAGCAGTTTTTTGGAGGATTCTTTCAGGTTTTCTATGTGTAGTATCTTGCCATCTGCAAATAGTGAAAGTTTCACTTCTTCCTTGCTGATTTGAATGCCTTTTATTTCTTTTGTTGTCTGACTGCTATGGCTAGGACTTCCAGTACTGTGTGGTAGGAGTAGACATCTCTGTCTTGTTTGTGACTATAGAGGAAAAGCTCTCAGTTTTTCCCCATTTAGGGTATTAGCTGTGGGTTTTTCATATATGGCCTTTACTATGTTGTGGTATTTTCCCTCTAAACCTACTTTGTTGAGGGTTTTATCATGAATGGATGTTGTACTTTGTCAAATGCTTTTTCTGCGTCTGTTGAAATGATCATATGGTTCTTATCCTTTCTTTTTATTAATGGGATGTATCATGTTGATTGATTTGCAAACATTGAACCATCCTTGCAACCCAGGAATAAATCCCACTTGATTGTGGTGAATGATTTTTTAAATGTATTGTTGGATTCGGTATGCTAGTATTTTATTGAGAATTTTTGCATCTGTGTTCATCAGAGATATTGGCCTGTTCTCTTTTTTTGTGTGGTGTCTTTATCTGGTTTTGGTATCAGGGTAATGCTGGCCTCATAGAATGAATTTGGAAGTTTTCCTTCCTTTTCTATTTTTTGGAATAGTTAGAGAAAAACATGTATTAACTCTTCTTTAAATGTTTGGTAGAATTTGCATATGAAGCCATCTGGTCCTGGACTTATGTTTGTTGGGAGTTTTTTGATTACTAATTCATTTTATTTGCTGGCTATCAGTCTGTTCAAGTTTTCTATTTCTTCCTGTTTCAGTTTTGGTAATGTTTCTGGGAATCCATTTCTTCTAGGTTGTCTAATTTATTGGCATAGTTTTTCATAATATTCTCTTATAATTGTTTATATTTCTGTGCTTTTGGTTGTTACTTCTCTCTCATTTGTGATTTTATTTATTTGGGTCCTTTCTCTTTTCTTTTTGATAAGCCTGGCTAGAGGTTTACCAATTTTGTTGATCTTTTCAAAGAATCAGCTCCTGGTTTCATTGATCTGTGCTAGTTTCATTGATCTGTGCTATTGTTTTTTTAGTTTTTATGGCATTTATTTCTGCTCTAGTCTTTATTTTCCTTCTCCTGGCTTTGGGCTTCATTTGTTCTTTTTCTAGCTCCTTTACGTGTAAAGTTAGGTTGTTTGAGATTTTTTCTTGCTTCTTGAGGTAGGCCTGTATTGCTATATACTTCCCTCTTAGGATTGCTTTTGCTCCATCTCAAAGATTTTGGACCATTGGGTTTTCATTTTCATTTGTTTCCATGTATTTTTTAAAAAATTTCTTCTTTTATTTCCTGGTTGACCCATTCATTGTTTAGTAGCATGTTGTTTAACCTCCATGTGTTTGTGCTCTTTCCAGATTTTTCCTTGTGGTTGACTTCTAGTTCCATAATATTGTGGTCAGAAAAGGTGCATGGTATGATTTCAGTCTTTTTTTATTTGTTGAGGCCTGTTTTGTGACCTAATATGTGATTTATTCTGAAGAATGTTCATGTGCACTTGAAAAGGATGTATATTACGCTGTTTTAGGATTGGATGTTTTGAATATATCTGTTAAGTCCATCTGGTCCAGTGTATCATTTAAAGCCTTTATTTTCTTGTTTATTTTCTCTTTAGATGATCTGTCCATTGATATAAGTAGAGTGTTAAAATCCACTACTATTATTATATTTGAAACTTGGTTTCCATCTCAGTTTACTAAATTATCAGATGGTAAGGAATATTTGTATCTGTGTGTGCTTATCCTGTCTTATCATGACATATCTTCTTGGCTAAAAACATTGTAGGTAGCTTGACTTAGATTTTGTCTTACTCCTTGAAAGACTTTGGTCTAATTCAAAGCAGGGTAGTAAAAAGCTGATAAGATTTTTAAGATTTTGGGGTGCCTGGGTGGTTCAGTCAGTTAAGCATCTGCTTTCGGCCCAGGTCATGATCCCAGAGTCCTGGGTCAGGCTCCCTGCTCAGTGGGGAGTCTCTTTCTCCTTCTTCCTCTGCCCTTCTCCCCTGCTCGTGCTCTCTCTCTCTCTCACAAATAAATAAATAATAAAATTTTATTAGCTAAGTATAATAAAAAATAAAGGATTTTATAATCCTTTTTCCTATCCTCCTCCCTTAAGCCATTTCCCTTTTTATTGTTTGTGTTTTTGCTGTTGTTGGTATAATTATTATTGTTGTTGCTGTTATTATTATATATGTAAATCTGTTTTCTTAAGGTCCTTACATAGTTTTGTTTTTATTTAGATATTTAGTCCATATAAACTTTAATTTTCTAAGTGGTATGATGTAGAGATCTAACCTTGCTGGTTTTATAGACCATTTATTGAATAGATGAGTGATTAAGCCTACGTACTGACAGAACTAGACCTATGCTCATATTTTATTGGACCCACACAGGGTTTTTTAAACTTTGAATTAATTACCAATATTTTAAAAATTAAGATATTTTATTTGTTAAGTTCTTACTTCTAAGCTTATTTCTAAGTTTCTCTTAAAAAGCCACAGAATCAGGGCGCCTGGGTGGCTCAGTCGTTAAGCGTCTGCCTTTGGCTCAGGTCATGGTCCCAGGGTCCTGGGATCGAGCCCCGCATCAGGCTCCCTGCTCTGCAGGAAGCCTGCTTCTCCCTCTCCCACTCCCTCTGCTTGTGTTCCGTCTCTTGCTGTGTTTCTCTCTGTCAAATAAATAAAATCTTAAAAAAAAAAAAACAAACCACAGAATCCAGGGGCACCTGGGTGGCTCAGTCGGTTGGGCGTCTGCCTTCAGCTCAGGTCATGATCCCAGGGTCCTGGGATCGAGCCCCGCATCGGGCTCCCTCTGCTTGTGCGTGCTCTCTCTCTCTGTCAAATAAATAAATAAAATCTTTAAAAAAAAAAAAAAGCCCACAGAATCTGGCAACAAATTCCTGCATAGTCATTATCAGGGTAGATATCGTAGGCATAAGCCTCTCCCCTGTCACATATGGGCCTGTATTCTTCAGTTAGCTACAGCCCTTGGCCATCCTTGTTTCACTCTGTCATGGTCTTACCTTGCTTCTAGAGGCATTTGAGTTTACAGTTTCTCATAGACCATTCTTTCTCTACTTCATTGAAATGAAACCTTTATCATATCTACTCATATGCATAGGTTTGTGTCTAGATTCTCTAGTCTGTTCCATTTTTATACTATTGCCATATTCTTTTAACTTCTGTAATTTTATAGTAGGTTTTGATACCTTTTAGGGTAAGAATCTTGTCATTGTTCTTATAAAAATTTTTCCTTTGCTATTTATTCTTCTGGAGGAACAATTTGTCAAAATCAAAAATAGATCCTATTGAGATGAACTATAATTGGATTAACTTTTTAGATTAATATTTGGAAAGGTGACACCTTTATAGTTTTGAATCATCTCATTCAGAAATATGTCTCTAATTTTACGTGGGCCTTCTTTTGTAGCCTTGAATAAAGTTTTATATATTTTTAAATTTAGCTCTTGAGTATTTTTTGTTAGGTTTATTTTCCTAGGTATTTTATAACTTTTATTGCTATTGAGAATAGCATCCTTTTTTCCATTACATTTTCTAATTGATTGTTGCTGGTTATTCATATATCTCTGAGTTGATTTTATTTCCAGGCACTTTTCTGAAAACTGTTTTTTTGTTTTTGTTTTTCTTTTGATAACTCTTTTGTACCCAGCATATAACTGAATTTCTTTTATTTCATCTTGTTTCTTAGATACAATTTGAGAGGCTTTGTCCTTTAACAGGGGAATAAAACCATTCATGGATATTGAGACCAACTCATATATCTGCTTTTATTCCTGACATCTTTCTGTTTTCTATATATGGTTTTTGGTTCTGTTCTTTTCCTGACATTTGCTGGGTTGAGATTTGTCTTTTTTTCTCTTCAAGTACTTAGGACATTTGTCATCTTAATTCTTTTCTATTTGTCTAATGATTACTCTTAAGATACAGTTTTTATCCATAGCAAGAGTTTATTAGTATCTACAAACTGTTTCTGAATAGATAAGACCTATTTTTGAGTTTTTTTTTTAATTCCCATCTCTCTCGTAATTGTCATTTTACTGTTTCCTCACTGTTTATACATATTTTGCTGCCATTCACCTGATTGTGGTCAAGTCATAAGAATATGCTCTGCTGTCATTAATAATTCTGTGGAGGGGAATTAATTTTTCCATTGAAATGTGTTTAAATACAAGAGAAGAAAATGTTGAAATACTCTCTTGAACTCAAAACAAAAGCACCTCAGTAAACATCTGAAATCTTAGTACCAAGAGACCTGTGAGTTATATAGCTTGAAGTATGAGTAGGGACAAAGATTTGAGATCAAAATAGTATCTTGTTTTTATACTTATGTAGCTATTTATTAAATGGTCTGGGCTTGATGGTGGTAAATAAGGAAATGGCTTTACTCTTCTTTGTTTAAACTTGCTGTTTTGGGTCTTCCTTTCCTCTCCTTGGTAGAACTCATAGCTTTTGGCAGAGGGGTTATAGTCACATACTGTACATATTAAGATACTTAAGATTTACTCCAGGCATTGATGATATTAGGGAATTACTGTTAAATTTCTTTTTTTTTTTTAAGATTTTATTTATTATTTATTTGAGAGAGAAAGAGAGCACAAGCAGGGGGAGCGGCAGAGGGAGAGGGAGAAGCGAGCTCCCCATTGAGCAGGGAGCCCTATGTGGGACTCCATCCCAGGACTCTGGAATCATAACCTGAGCCAAAGGCAGATGCTTAACTGACTGAGCCACCCAGGTGCCCCTAATTACTGTTAAATTTCTTATGTATAATGTGTTAGGATTTTGTAGGAGAATATGCTTACTTTTAAGAGATGCATACTTAAGTATTTGAGGGTAAAGTTTTATCATGTCTGTTTTCTTTAGAAAGTTCAGCTAAGTGAGCAGATATGGGAAAATGTTAACAATTGTTAAATCTAGGTAGAGATTATGTGGGTATTTATGATGGTTCATTTTATGTATCAACTTGACTGGGCCACAGGGTGCCCAGATACTTGGTCAAACATTATTCTGAATATGTCTGTGAGGTGTTTATGGATGAGATTAACATTTGATTTGGCAGACTGGGTAAAGCAGATTGCCTTCCCTAATGTGAATGAGTCTCATTCAGTCATTTGAAGACCTGACTAAAACAGAGGGGCTGAGTAAGAAGGAGCTCCACTTGACTGACTGCCTTTGAGCTGGGACATCAGTTTTTTTCCTGCCTTCAAACTTGAACTGAAGCACTGTCTCTTCCTGGGTCTCAAGCCTGTGGGCATTGAGACTAGAACTACTCCATTGGCTCTCTTGGGTCCAAGCTTGCCTACTGCAGAAATTGGGACTTACCTGCTTCCATAATTGTGTGAGCCAATTCCTTATAATAAATCTTTTTAGGTATATTTATATACATATACATTGTTCCTGTTTCTCTGTAGAACCTTGATAATACAGATTTTGGTACTGAGAGTGGTTGTAGAGGAACAGCATTTTAAGGATTAGTTCTCTGAATTGGGTCTGGGGTTTCCAGAATTGGCATGATGTTTCCAGGATTTCTGTATAGAATGTGTTGGACTTTATTATTCATTGTCCTTGAACTTTGAACTTTAACTGAAGTTATGAGACAACAGGAAATGCCCCCTTTCAACATCTGATTTAGCTTAAATATGAGGAGATAGAATTAGAGAAATGTGAGACTCTAGCTAAGGATGTATTGATGATGATTTTTCCCTGTGTGAATTGTAATAGGTCATTCATAATCTACTTTAAAGTCCAAATCATTTGAAAATGCATTTTAGCTTTTCTTTGAAGTCTCTGGTTCTCATTAGAACTTATATGTTTAATTATGTTGATAAAACTGCTGTAAACATTACAGGTGTCAGTACTATTAAAGAACCTCTTAATGCCTAAAATTAATTCTGAAAATGATGATACATTGACATATAAAGCACTCCCTTAACCTAAATCACTTTGATAAGACTATGATAAACATTTCAACTTAAAAACATTCTTTTTTTTTTTAAGGTTCTGAATAGCATCAATTCAATTGTTCACAATCCAAGAGCTCCAGTAATAATTTATAAACAGAGCAAAGGAGGAGCCCAACATTTTAATAAAGATCTTGTTCAGGATTGTGGATTTGAGCATCTTATTCCTATAATAGAAATGTGGGCAGATCAACTGACTTCCCTAAAGGTAAGGGGTTGAATATTTTTTACATGCTTTGAAAATCTATTGGAGTCTCTGGGCTTTATTAATAGGACTAGGCTTCATTTTTTTGTTTGTATCATCTGTATAGCTTAGTTTATTTAAAACTTAAAACTTGCTACTTACCATATCAGTTTTAAGTACTACCTATTTGATGTTATCATTACTATAAGCTTTACCTCCTGTAAAGTTCTACCAAATACTTTTTTTAGGCCTGTTGCCATGTTGAAAATCTGTTTTGCACTTCTGGGCCCTTCACTGTTCTACCTTCATCTTCCTCTTTTTGGTATCTCCATGCTACAGATTTTCCTGGCCCTTACTTCTCTTGAGATGTAATGTTTTATCCTTCATTCCATTTTAATTAGGGATTTTTTTCCCTCTTCATATTTTAAATCATTTTCCTTCTCTCAAAACTGTCCACATCTGCCTATTCTGTAGAGCAGTTAATAGTTAAGTAGCAGCCAATACTACTTTTACCTATTCTATCCATGAAAGATAAAAATTTCTTCAGTTTCTAGAGTTACTGTGTATTTATCGTGTATCTTCAGGTTTTTCAGTTTTTGTTGAGTAGTTCACTGAAAGGTGAATTGCTAAGGTCATTAATATTTAGTTTCTGTTCCCTTTAATCTTTAGATTTTTCTTTCTTTCTTTTGTTTTTTTAGAGAGAGAGGGGAGGGGCAAAGGGAAAAGGAGAGAGAATTCTAAGCAGGCTCCATGGAGGCATGGAGCCTGACGCAGGGCTCGATCTCATGACCCTGGGATCATGACCTGAGCTGAAATCAAGTCAGACACTTAACTGACTGAGCCACCCAGGCACCCCTGATCTTTAGATTTTTCAATAACTAATATATATAGCACTACCTCTGTTCATAGGATGCGATTCAGTAACAGTATTTGTCAACAAACCTTATTGCATGAAGTATAAATGATACAGAAGATATGTGTAAGAATGTATAAGCTTTATGAGTTTTACCTTTTTTTGTTCTCTGATGTGTCCCAAGGAACCTCCTGATACATAATGAGTGCTCGATATTTGTCAAAACAATGAAGCAGAATAACAAATTCCAAGACAACAAAATGAAGATGATATTGAATTTTTAAAAATTAATGAAAACACACCTGTAATGATGAAAGAATCTTCACATTAGCCTAATTTTGCCTTCCCTTTTTATATAGGGATCAGATAGAGCTATAAAATAGAAAACATTTTAATTGAGTGATAGTGTTAGATTAATATACCTGTCTTATAGACCTGAGTCTCTCCAGTTTATATCTTAGCAGAGGGTAAATAATTAGTGGTTAATTATGTAAACCCAGTCACTGCTTGTCAGGGGGTTCTCCCAGTAGGAGGAAATAGTGCTAACACTACTTTAAAAAGATTTATTTTTTTATTTGAGAGAGAGAGAGAGCAATTGAGCAAGTTGGGGGAGGGGCAGAGGAAGAGAATCCTCAAGCAAACTCCCTGCTGAGCAGGGAGCCCAATGTGGTGGGGCTTGATCCCATGACCCATCAGATCATGTCCTGAGCCAAAACCAAGAGTCAGACACCTAACTAGCCACCCAGGTGCCCCATTGTGCTAACCCTACTTCATTTCCTCTCAAGGAAGATGGGGCTAGAACATGCCCAGCCTTCCCAAGAGAAGTTAAAAGACTAGAAGAGAAAGGAGACAAAAGGAAGAATCAAATAAATGGATAGTTACTGATGATTTACTATGTTTAAGGCATTGGGGAGGTAATCAGAAAAGATGAACATGAGGTGCCTGGGTGGCTCAGTCAGTTAAGCATCCAGCTCCTAGTTTGGCTCAGGTCATGATCTCGAAGTTGTGGGATCAAGCCCCTCATTGGTTCTGCACTCAGCGTGGAGTCTGCTTCACATTCTCTCTCTCTCTTCCTCTGCTTCTACCCCTGCTCATGCTCTCTCTCTCTCAAATAAATTAAATAAAATCTTTTTAAAAAATGAACACAGGTTCAGACTAATTGGAGATACAACTTACTAAAAAACACGAAATAAAATCTAACCATTCAAGATATCATTAGAAGAAATGAATGCCATAAAAACAGCCCATGAAAGGGGGCGCCTGGGTGGCTCAGTCGGTTAAGTGTCTGCCTTTAGCTCAGGTCATGATCCTGATGTCCTGGGATTGAGCCCCACATCGGGCTCCCTGCTCAGCGGGGAGCCTACTTTCCCTCTCCCTCTGCCCCTCCCCCTGCTTGTGCTCTCTCACTCTCTTTCAAATAAATAAATAAAATCTTAAAAAAAACAGCCCGTGATAAAGTGCTAAGTGAATGAGGTAGATGACTTGTGCTCCAGATTCTGGAAGAGGAAGAACCCCGAAGAAAAGCTTTACAGTGGTGGTGAGTTCTTGCTACTGTATAGTTTTTACACTAGAAAGAGACAAGGAGAGTAAGCTACATAATTAGAATAGTCCAAGGACCCCTGAGACGAATTTAGTGGTTCTGCCGCTGAAGTAACTCATGGATTTTAGGCAGTGCTTCAGATATTTATTACTGCGGAATCAGGATCCAAATTGAGAAACTATGTAAGTTCTTTGTGGCCTCATATGAAAGGTTTTCTGTGTTGTAGTAGCCTTTAAGGTTGGGACAACCATCTTCCTAGATTAGTTTTTTCCTCGGGTTAGATTTGGCTTAAAAGAGAAGAATGGGAAAGGCATGAAGGAGCTGTCTGTTTTCTTCCTTCTGTCTTCCCACTCACCTTTTTGGGAAAGTTGAGCTAGATACTGTTGCTTTCCCAATCCAGTATGCTGTTGTACCTTGGGGCTTTCCCATTCCCCAGTGCTCCAGAGGCCTGCTGTACAAAGACAGGACATTGGTTGTACGTCTACATCCCCACAGCTGAGCAATGTGGAGAACACAGGAGACCCTCTTTTAGATTTTTCAGGGCTTGATGGACTATGCTACAACCATCCTGTCACTGCCAAGTAGACCAGAACAGCTCTTTATCTTACCTATCTAATACTTTATTCCCAAGCAAAATTTATATTTGGCGTGCTTTTTACTAAAGACCATTTCTTTATAATTGCACCTTGTTGATGAAGCATTAGTTAATGAAGGTATTTATGCTGCAACTTCCTGACTTCTTTTTCAAATTCTAGTGGCACTTATTGTTTAAAACATTCATTTGATACTGACATATTGCCTTGAATTGCTGAAATAATAATTGCCTTCTTAACAAATGAAAGGTTACAGATATCAATATGTGAGGTCTGGGCATTCACTGGAGAATGATAAATAAGTGGAGGACTCAAATAAGGAGTTGGAAAAAGAATTTCCTGTACTTCTTTCTGTATTTTAGGGTTGCACTGTCTAATACAGTAACCACTAGCCACATTTAGCTTTTGATTACCTAGAATGTGCTAGTCTCAATTGAGATGTGCTGCAAGTTTAAAATACCTACCAGATTTAAAAGAGTATAGAAAAAAACAAAATATTGATTATGTATTAAAATGATAATATTTGGATATAGTGGGTTAAACCAAAGATATTATTAAAGTTAATATTACCTGTTTCTTTTTACTTTAAGTGTGGCTACTCAACAATTTAAAATTACTTACAGTGGTACTTTAATAGCAATGTAATGGGACAGATGGTAGCTATACTTGGGATGAACATAGCATAATGTATAAACTTGTCAAATCACTAAGTCATATACCTGAAACTAATGTAATACTGTGTGTCAACTATCATATTAAAAAAATAAGTAAATAAAATTACTCTGACTTACATTTCGTTTGGACAGCAGTGTTCTAAAGGGCCAAGCACTGTGCCATACACATAGCAAATGCTCAGTAAATTTTTATCGGTTTGACCAGTTTTAAACTTCAAGTGGCTTTGTCCTTTGTGCACAGCTTAAAATAAATTAGGAGAACCTGTCTAGGCCAAGAGAATTAAGTAGGCTGTCATGAAGATTAAGTAGAATTAATTTAATTTAGAATCTTTTAAATTTCAAATTAAAACCTGCCCAGAAATAAATGCTATAATGGATGAATATTGAAAACATTATCCTTGGGCGCCTGGGTGGCTCAGATGGTTGGGCGTCTGCCTTCGGCTCAGGTCATGATCCCGGGGTCCTGGGATCGAGTCCCACATCGGGCTCCCGGCTCAGCGGGGAGCCTGCTTCTCCCTCTGACCCTCTCCCCTCTCATGCTGTTTCTCTCTCGCTTGCTCTCTAAAAAAAAAAGAAAGAAAGAAAAAAGAAAACATTATCCTAAGTGAAGGAAAGCCAGTCACAAAGGCCACTTATAGGGCCTTTTATCTGGAAAGCCAGTCACAAAAGGCCACTTATCTGTTTCTATGGTTTTGCCTATTCTGGGCATTTCACATAAAGGCAAATCCATAGAAACAGAAAGTAGGTTAGTAGTGACCCAGGTGCTGGGATAGGAAAGAATGGGGAATGGCAGTAAATGGGTATGGGATTTCTTTTTGGGGTGATGAAACTGTTCTGAAATTAGATAATGGTGATGATTGTACATCTCTGAAAACTGATTAAAATTACTGAATTGTACACTTATAGAGAATTAATTTTATGTGAATTATATCTCAATAAATCTGTTATAAAATTATTCAAGGCCAAAATATAAAGGATAAGCTTATTTTTTATCCATCAATAGTTCAAAAATAATTACTTAAATAACATATACTACTAATAAATAACATCATTACTTTAAATATCCAGATTTCAGATAATCAATATATCATGTTTTTTGTAAGCCCTATATTTACCTGGAGAAAACAAATTTAACAGACTTTTTCTAAGCTGGCAATGGTATTTTTAAAAAGTACTGATGATGGTTTATATATATTAAAACTGCCTGGATAATTATATTTTATTAGCATTATTATGGAAACTTTTTTAAGGTCAATAATACCATGTTGTTTCTTTTGTTATAAAGGATTTGTATAAGTCCTTGAAAATACTATCCGCAGAACTGGTGCCTTGGCATAATTTAAAAAAGCAGGATGAAAATGAAGGTATCAGAATTGAAGATCTGTTGTTTATAGTAGATACCATGTTAGAAGAAATTGAAAATAAGGAAAAGGTAATGCATAATACTTATGTAAATGTTCACATTTTAATGTAATCTTATCTTAAAAACTGATAGTGATACAGATACTGGTATTTGTTCTACTAAGATTCTTTTTCTCTTTTTAAAGTTTTTTTTAATGTCTTGGGATTATTTTAACATGTGAACTGTTTCTCCCTCTTTTGGACAGGACAGCAATATGCCAAACTTAAAAACTTTGCAAGCTATTGTTTCTCACTTCCAAAAGTTATTTGATGTGCCTTCTTTAAATGGAGTCTATCCTCGAATGAATGAAGTTTATACTAGGCTTGGAGAAATGAACAATGCTGTGAGAAACCTCCAAGAACTCTTAGAATTAGGTGATGACTCTTTGTCCTTTCTGGCCCCTGTTTAAGAATTATTCCTAATAAATCAACAAAAAGTAGGTTAAAAAATTGAAAAGTAAGAAAATTGAGGATAACTAAAGCATAAAATGTTTGATTTAATGATGATGAAATTCTCTTTTAAAATATCCTTTTAGGGACGCCTGGGTGGCTCAGATGGTTAAGCGTCTGCCTTCGGCTCAGGTCATGATCCCAGGGTCGTGGGATCAAGCCCCACATCGGGCTCCCTGCTTGGCGGGGAGCCTGCTTCTCCCTCTCCTTCTACTGCTCCCCCTGCTTGTGCTCTCTTTCTCTGTCAAATAAATAAATATTTTTTAAAAATATCCTTTTATTTCTCTCTTTCAGATAGTTCATCTTCATTGTGTGTGTTGGTGAACACAGTTGGAAAATTGTGTAGGCTGATTAATGAGGATGTGAATGAACAGGTTATGCAGGTATTGGGACCTGAAGACCTCCAAAGGTATTTATTTTAAAAAGTATCTTCCACAATGCTTGGATTGGTGAAATTAAAGACTTTCAGAACTTCATAAGTTATTTATCTTTCCTGTTTGGGATAGCATCTTTTAAATAATTTGACAGTCTAAAATAATCTCACACCTTATTGATGGAGAGAATGCCAAGTATTTTCAAGATAAAAATAGATCGTAGGGCCTGTAAGTTTACATAGGGTGGGTCAGGACTCCAGCATTATTGCTATAAGCCTGCTCCCAGGGGAAATTATATATGGAGAAATTCACACCTTGTTAGCAACTTCATGTTAGTATTCAGAGTATATAAACAAGTCCTATTTTTAGTACACTACTATAGGTCGCTTAGTAATTGCTAACAGTGTATTTATTATTTGATTAGAAAATAAATGTTAATGAGTTTTTTTAAAAGCTAGTCATCTCTAAAATAAAACTGATGTTTTTTTAAAATATGGAAACATATTAAAGCAACGCTTCCCCCTCCCCCCCCCACGAATTTCATACTACAACGTATAAGGAAGAGGAACACAGACATATACCACCCATTCCATATATTCTGCAAGTATCCTAGGAAGATCTGACACTTGAGTTTTCTCATACTTGATGCTTTTAAAAGGAATGTATGTCTCACTATTGGTCTTTTTCCCCTTTCCCACATTTATACTGATGACTGATACTTATTCTTAATGTTTAATAGAATACGGGATATAAAAAACAATTTTTAGCAAATGTTAAAAAGCAAGTTCTCTTGAAAATTCTCAAGCTAAATGGAAAGTCTTCCACATTAGGAATGTTAAATTTAACTTTGGGACACATGTTTACAATGATTAATAAGAGTTTGGTTTTTTGTTTTGTTTTGTTTTAGAAAAGTGGTATTAGATGAACAAGGATTGCAGTAAATGATTATTAAATTTATACTGAAATTAGGAAATTTCTTTCCATTTTGAGAATGTTTTATTTCAATCAGATGCAAGAACCTTAAGTTGGAAATTCAGTGTAAACTGTGCATTTTTTTTTTAAAGTATTATCAACAAACTGGAAGAACATGAGGAATTTTTCCCAGCATTTCAGGCATTTACTAATGATCTACTTGAAATCTTAGGTAAGCTCTTTGTTGGTGGTGGTTAAATTTCGAGTCTTAAGATGTCAGTGGGTTTGAGGGATGAGTGTTCCTTAGTTGCTGTATTAGTGCTTTTACCTAGAGTGTTTTGGTAGAAAGTGTCTAAAAACCACTAACAGTTCTGGAAATACACTCCTAACTTGTAATTAGAGTTGGTTGGTGTGGTCTACAAAACAGAGAAGCACATATCCTTTAAAGAGCTAGGGGCTGCCTTTACTTTGAAACCATAAAATGAGAAATGGTATTACTTTGGCTAGGCCCAGGTTAACCCTGACTCTGGCGTGGTCTAATGAGAAATCTTCATAGAATTTATGATCTTGAAGGTGTTTAGTTTTTTTTTTTTTTTCTGCCTTCTTTTTTTTTAAGATAGAACTTACCTACTGTGTTATTTAAAATATACAAATTAAATTTCTTTCTCAGGTGATAAGAAGTAATGTAAAGTAAACATCCGTAAAAAAAAAAGATAAATTTATAAATCTGTAGAAGGAAAAAGATATATTTGTATTCTTGGTCAGATTGAGGGTTTTGTTATTAGTATTATCTTTTAAAGGGAAAAATGTAATTTGCTTAGGAATCATAGGCAAAATAGAAACCCAAGGCTCTTATTTTAAGTGTGATTATATATGGCTATAAAAGTAATTTATCTTACTATTAAGAACACTTTTTAAGGTTTAAAGTGATTTATTCACTGATGAATTTTTTTTTATATAGTTCATTTGAAAGATTTTTTTTAAAGAATGCCTCCTTGACATAGGAAATTAAATTAGAAGAAGAGGGGCGCCCGGCTGGCTCAGTGGGAAGAGCATGCAACTCTTGATCTTGGGGTCGTGAGTTCAAGCCCCACACTGGGCAGAGAGCTCACATAAAAAAAATAATAAAATTAAATTAGAAGAGGAAATGAGGTTTAGTAGAAGATAAGGGAATGAGTAAATTAAAATTTGGTAAGAAGATGAATAAATGAAAAGAAGCATCTGACTGGAGTATCTAGCCTGGTAAACATAAAGGAAGTTTTGTGGCCAGTTTTATGTAGACTGTGGAAGCAAGGGAGACAGTGACTGAATGTGCTTTAGGCATGCTCATATGTTTGAAAAGATCATAGCAAGGGAAAATGTAATTTGAAAGCTAAACTTAAGATGGAACATGAAATTGTAGAAATGTGTTGCCTCATATCCCGAAGACCCTAGTTTCATAGAATAATATGATTTTACTTGCTTTGGGGTAGCAGTTAAACAGGGAAGTTCTCATCATTAATAAACATTTTAATAGGTGTGCGGGTAACACTTATTTTAGAATCCTTTTATAGAAACTTCCTCTCAGATATTATGACTTCATGGTTCATGGGGGATCATTTACTTCAAGAAGCCATGTCTCCCTGCAGATGAACTCTATTTATGTCACAGTTGAAATTCTGGAATTAAAAATGACACTTAACATTGGGAAAGTTAAATCTGATTGGCAAATATAACTTTTTATTACTAGATGTCATTTTAAGCATCAACTACAGAGTGTTGTACTGAATACCAGATGTGGAGAAGGACTTTGTTTTTCTCATATAAGTGGTGTGATCTCATATTAGCCAAGATCCTTCTCTGCAAGGTTCATTTATAAGGCAGGTATCTCATTTAGTGAGAGAACAGGTGATGCAAGGTGTGAATCAAATTCTCTGTTGTAGACTTGCTTATATTTTTTTCTGGTATCTTGACACTTTGTAAGTGGATCTAGACAAGTGTTCTGACTGAAGTCAGGAGCTTAAGTAGCATGGACTATACGTTTAGGTTAAAGGAAAAGCAACCAAAATTCAGCTAAACATGGAGGAAGAGAGGTAGAACCTAAGGAAGCATGTTTTATATAAAGGAAAATGAGTTTATAAACAGTGGCCCAGCAGAATAAGGTAGAAAAAAGTGTTAAGAATCTAGAGAACTTGCCACTGGGGCTTGTAGTGCTGGAGCCTAGATAATGAGAGAAAAGGACCTTGCTTCTCTAGTGGCCAAGAGCTTTCAGACAGTGAATTTAACAGGCTAGTTGGAAGAAGACAGTTTTAGAAAGAGAAATCAAATTCACAAAGAATCTGGCAGAGAAGAACCTGAACTAGTTGATCTAGTAAGCTGGACCAGACTAAGCTCTTCAGCACATTGCATCTGAGATTTGTACTTTGCCTCACACTTTTTATTACGTAGATATGTTTCATCCTAAAAGGTAGACCTAAGAATGATCCTACTAATGAGAAATTTTTCCAATAGAATTAAGGAGAGGACTGTGTTCCATGAGAAGAAATCATTAAGTGCTCAGATAGGGACCCAGAAAAGAGCTTTCACCTAGGATTTCACCATGTAGGCTCACCCATGTAATTACATGGATTTAAAGCAGCAATGACATATCACAAATGTGGCCAGTAGGATTGCTTAATAAGAGCACACTGCTAATGAGATTATTATCAGAGTCAGAGGATACTTGTAGGTATAGGGTAGCTTTACAAACAGATGCCCTATGAAGCATCTGTGTCTGAATCAGTGACACTCTTATCATCACTATTAGAGAAAAATTTCATGTGCATAAAAGAGCTAATGTTGTTGCCTTTGTGTTTGAGGTTTGCTTTGCATAGAGATTCTCATTTCATCTGAGCCTATCACTAGATAAAGCTACTCTTTCCTTATTCATGTTTTTCTGTTACAGAAATTGATGACTTGGATGCCATTGTACCTGCAGTAAAGAAATTAAAAATACTTTCATACTGAAAACAAATCAAATCATTTTTACTGTGTAAATTGCATTCTTAACATTCTGAGTATTTTATAGGATCTTGCTTTGAGACAGGGTTATAAATGTATTTACTCTCAGAATTCATCCCCTTCTTAGTATTGGGTCCTTCGCATCTATATTTTTATTAACTT